CTTACTTTCATAAGCATGAACAGCTTTTTCAGGGATAGAGAACCTTCTTCCACACATGCAGTTTTTTACTATAGGGAAGAGGAAATAATCACATGAAGATAGATCAGGACTGTAGGGTTGTATGGTGGGTGAGTCATAAGTTTAACCTCTGTGGACTCCAGGAACAGAATGGTGCTTTTGGCTGTGTGGACAGACACATGGTGCAAGATAGTTGCCTACAGTATTGTCCTTGGCCACCATTCTTGAAGGTTCCCAAAAACTTTTGGTAGGCACACTGGTGTGTACCACTGAGCAGAAACAGTCTTTGCTTCCTCCAGAGAAACAGTTACATGATTATTTGGAGAAGAAAGTTGTCATTTTCCTTCCAGCATTTCAGGGCTGCTTCACTTTTGTTAGTGGGTTTACAAGGGGAAAAATCTACACTGTCAATTGACGCTTGTTCTCTGGATCAAACTGGTAAATCCAGGTTTCATCACCAGTAACCATGTCAGAAATGTGTCTAGATTGCTTTTGTCTAATCTGACCAATGTTTCCTCACACTGTTCAACATGTATATGCTTTTGCCGATCTGTCAAAGTGTGAGGCACTCATCAGGATGAAACTTTTCTGACTGGAAGATAATCATGCAAGATTTAGGGCACTGCCAGTGATCCAATTTGTAGTGCCACTCAGTGTCCTTAAATGTCACTGCATTGTTTGTACAAACCATTTTCTTCCACAGTCCACAATGGCAATGTTTTCCTTAGGCACTGTGGTTGCCAGGACACCCACTCCTCTCCTTGTCTTTCAGTGAAGTTCAGAATCTTCTAAATTCCTGAAACCACCAAAATATTGTTGCATGGGAAGGAATATGGTCCCAAAAATCCACTGCAAATGCTCAAGCATTTGTTTAAAATCAGAGAATCACAGAAAATCATTGCACAAAAGTGCTCTCTTCCTAGCTCCATAGCTGCTGCAGAGCACCAAACAAATGGGAACAAATGAGACCCTCCAAGCAACACTGATAAGCCCATCAAGTTGAAACCTGTACATGTGATTTAGAAAGGATCCTGCTGTGGACTGTATTTCTTGAAAGTGAAATAATGGACCATAACACAGTGTGTCTCAAAACTTTACCTTTGTGTACACCAACAACAATCAAGCTGAGAATCAAAGCAAAGACACAATGCCTTTCACAGTAGCAACAAAGAAAATAAAATACCTAGGAATATATTTAACAAAGGAAGTGGAAGATGTGAGCAGATGGAAGCACATATCACGCTTATGTATCAGCAGAATCAGCACTGTTAAAATGGCTGTACTACCCAAAATGATTTACAGATTCAACACAATCCACATTAAAAAAGCATCCACAATGAAAAAAATCATTTTTCATAGCTCTAGAAAATCTACCCATCATATGGGACCAGAAAAAACCTGCAATAGCCAATGCAACCTTACATAATAAATCAGGAGGCATCACCTTACCAGACTTACTACAAGGCTATCATAACTAAAAAAGCATAGTGCTGGCACAAAAATCAGAGACATAAACCTGTGCATCAGAGCAGAGAACTCAGAGATGAAATCATCCTCATATTCCTGATCTTTGATAAAGCAGATAAAAATATGCACTGGGGAAAAGAATTCCTATTCAATAAATAGTTAGGAATAGCCTAACCTGGATAGCCACATGTAGAAGACTAAAACAGGATCCACACCTGTCACCACTCACAAAAGTTAATTCATGATGGATAAGACTTAACTTTAAGGCATGACACTAGTGAAATTCTTTTAACATTTCTTGCAAGGCAGGCTTACTGGGTTTTTTTTTGAGGCAGAGTCTCAAGCTGTTGCCCTGGGTAGAGGAGGGCGGTGGTGTCATAGCTCACAGCAACCTCCAACTCTTGGGCTCAAGTGAGCCTCTTGTCTGAGTTTTTCTATTTTGTTGTAGAGACAGGGTCTTGCTCTTGCTCAGACTGGTCTCGAATTCATGAGCTCAAGCAATCCACCACCTTGGCCTCCCAGAGTGCTAGGATTAGAGGCGTGAGCCACTGCGCCCGGCCAATTCCCTCAATTTTTTGTCTAAATCTCTATTTCTCCTTCCTGTTTGTAAGGTAATTGTTCAGGATACAGAGTTGATTTTTTTTTCCTCAATACTTTTAGGTATTTCACTTCACTTTCTTCCTGCTCACATGGTTTCTGAGAAAATGTTGAATATAATTATCTTCCTTCCTCTATAGGTAAGCTACTGTTTTTCCTCTGGCTTCCTTCAGAATCTTTTCTTTACGTTTGATTTTTGTATAGTTTGAAAATGATGCAAATGGATGTAGTTCTTCTGGTATTTATCCTGCATGAGGTTATCTGAGCTTCCTGAGTCTGTGACTTAGTGTCTCACATTAAGGGTAAAGTCTCAGCCATTATTGTCTTATTTGCCATCTTTTTTTTTTTTTTTTT